AACTTAGCTAAAAAATTTTTGCGGATTCGGATTCCTGAGGGTCGAAAACATATTTGCGCCCAGGTTTGATCGACAGAGGAAAAAATGGAGGTTCAGCCTTCATTTCAATGGACTAAATACTTACATACAGTAATATTTTATTTATATATTTTATGCCTATACATATTATTCTCCAAACGTAATTAGTAGCAAGTTTCTATATATTTTAGTAATTAAGCAGTGTTTTTAAGTTAATACGACTCGCCAAAGCAATTCAAGTTAGGTATATATATTTTTTACTGAAAATAGCAGTTAATTTACATTATCGCATTGTTAATGTGAAAATATAAACATTAGGCTGTTGACTATTCCATGTTATACGTGTTTTAACGTCACTTTTGAAGAAGAAACTACATGTAATTTTAAAAACCGTATTTCTGTTTTTATAATGAAGGAATAGTAATTATAATATAATATTGTTTAAGCTTATTAACTAAAAATTATTGCCTACTCAATAAAAAAATATTATTGTCGTCGATAATCTATTACTGATTAATAAAATATTTACTCTCTTTCCTTATAAGATTGTATGTACACAAATTGGAGCCGTTCCTGAAAAATCGGGCGAATATGGTTGCAATGTAAATTATTAGACTTGAAGCGTTGGCCGCTAGAGCAGCCCCTGCCGGGGTCCCGTTTCGTGACTCACGCTGGGCGATATTTTTTGTACAAAATCCCGTCCTTAATATACCATATTCCGAAAACGCTTAGTTTCCGATCTACAGGGTGTTAAAGTTTAATAAAAAAATGCAAATTTAAAAATATTACGGAAACCGCTCAAAATATTTTAATGAAATTTTACAGGCTTTGACAGTTAATAAAAATACACGTTTTACGATAAAAATATTATTTTCAGTTTCACCAATGGCGTGCGCACAAAGATGTCTCTGGATATTTTTAAAGAAAAAAATGATTTTTCTTAAAATAAAAATTATTTTTGAATTCCTTGTTCAATTTGGAAGAGAAAAGGTATCTTGACTGTATCAAAATCGATTTATTGCATGGCGAAATGCACTCAATTTTTTTTGCACCAATTTTATTACAAAAAATTATTACTCCTCACAGTTAACAACGTCAGTCTAGGCTACAACATAAATAACGATTTTATGTGGGACACCCTGTACGCAAAATTTAATCTTTATTTTAATAAAGAAAAATTAGTACATATTATTGGTTTTTTATGCGTTATATTTTCGTACTACTTAAGCTTTACAAAATCTTATTACTTAGGTACTTTTAAAAAATTACCCATATTTATATATCAAAGATAATATCAGACCATTATGGGCCCCACATTCTTTAAATAGTGTTTTCCGCAAAAACAAATAATTTCAAACATTTAATAACTGAATAATCTAAAGCTTATTAAATAATAGGAATGTTATGTCATGACACCTGAGTATTTTCAAAGACGCCGCAGTAAAACGAATAAACAGGTGCAAAAAACGATCAAATCATTAAGGTTTTAGGTACTGAAATCTACGAAAATACTACATTTTTTATATATAATTCCACATGTAAATATTCTTATAACATTTACTTGCTTAGTCCTACATATAAAATTGTTTACTTTTATTTATAAGTACGTGAAAATAATTGTTAAAGTGTGGGGTTAGGATAACATCAAACGCATGTTTTACAAAAGCTTTTTTTAGTTATTATTTTATTTGGGTAAATTTAAATGGTAACAATGAATAAACAAAACATCAAGGATTTTATTTTTGTGTTTACTTTTGTTCTACACGTTCTACTTTTAAAGATTTCAGTACCTAAACATGGCCACCTTATGCTTTATTTTAGCACGCATTTTATAATAAATCAACTCTGTGTTTTCGCTTTCATTTTCAAGGGTAGCGACACCTGTGACAAAGTATACAAACTAATTATACCTACAAATTATTGTTTGAGATAGAAATCACTAAAATTCTGGTTTAAGTATAGAATAAACATGGAGTCGTGTGTAAAATGTTGTCATCTTACTTGAGGACACAAATTATAGAATTGTTAATAAATATTAATCTGAAAATTAAATACAAATGATCCTAAGTGTCCGTTCTAGTGAGTGAAGTAGTTTGGTTATTGTGCCTGACCTAGTTCCGTCGTAAATGCTATATATTGTCAGACTAACAGTATGGTTAAAATTGAGGTACTTTGGCATTTATTTAAATTATTCTTCTGTTCTCATGACCATTGAAATTTATTTCACTCACTAGCGGGAACCATTGCGAATACATTGATATATAATAATATTCAATTATGTTAGTTTCTTCGACGATTTGTGTCCTCATCTGAAGCTCTGTTACATGGTAAAAATATACATACTAAATCGCCCCCTTAAGGAAATATATCACAAATCACTTGTACTATAACCTCCTGAAGGGAATGTATTGACTTACCAAACACACTGTATAATATTTTAACAAGATGCATTGGTATTGGGATGCCCTCAAGTCAATCGAGCTCATGCAAAATTAACAAAAAGTACGTAAATATTATACTTTATTTAAAATCTATTAAATTTTTCATCGCCAAACAACGAAAAGAACAGAATAACAGTCTTCTATAACGTAGAAAACAACATTTAAAGTGTTTTTTTACACTATTATACAAAGACAAACTAAAAAGCTAAATTCAGAAAAAATACATTATTGTGAAAATTCACTTAAAGGAAGCTATACAGAGTTCACTTAAGCACATATCTCATGCATCTGAATTTTGTGATACTTACCAAAACAACAAACACTTGGTGAACAACTTGAACATACCTATTATCCAAAATATATATTTTCTCCTAAAAACGCAGATGGTCTACTGATTCTACTGATTCTTTTATTGTTTAAAGGTTATTTTTTAAATAACTAGGTATATGAAAATATTTATATTAGCACAGGTATTGGATAGAAATAGTTCTAAAGAAAAGGGAAGTAAAGTTTAAGGGCAGAAGTTTTCTATCCACTATTTCAATGAATATTATTTCAAAGTTAACCAACTATAAGAATTTTTAGTGGGCTCCATATTTCTGAATTTAAGAAGAAGAATAAAAAACGTAGGAGGTTAACATTTTTCAAGATGGAGTACAATATCATGAAAAACTTTTTAGAGAGTTGAAAATAAATGACGATTCTGATTTCTAAAATATTTTGAAAACGTCACTAACTGATTTCGAAACTTTAATTGAAAAGATCAGTTTAGAATTGCAATACTCTGAATTAGCCCGTGTTTGTGAACAAACATGTCCAAACTAAATGTTTGTGGGCAAATGTTTGAGTTTAAAACCTTAATTTTCCATCTTCGATGGAACACAAAAAACACATATGCATTTTACACATATGTGCAAACATTTTTAGTTAGACTGTTTTATGCATGTTTTTGTATGTTTACGGGCAAAAATATTCATATTTGGTCTACAGTTTAAATATGTGCACTTTTTGGAGACTATTTAAAAATTATATTTCAGCATCATTTGTTCTTTACTTTAATTTTATTAAAAATTTAGTTACATAATCTTAGGTTTCTGTTTCAGTTTAAGAATATAACAATCATCGGAATCATATATCATCATGGAAAATTAAAAATTAGCCACTTACTTATACTGCTGTTTATAACAGTCTACGTTATTTTCACAAGTTTATGCCCATAAGGAAATTCAGTTATTTACCAATAACTATTATCAGCAGTTATTAGTTTGCAATTTGGTAATTTTCATTTTCAAGCATTCCGTCCCAGATTTTTAAACTGAAACATAATCTTAAAAAGTTTAGAGCTTTAAGATTCTATAAAAAAACTTTTCTGCTTTACAAATTGATGAAATTTGAGATTGTGGGATTTTAAGTGTTATCCCAAATAGCACAAGTTATCCCCAAGATATTCCATATCCTATTCATGGCTCATATCTCGCTGTGTTGACCATGTCTTCTGGACATATCATTTCGTATATAAGGAATATTTTATTTTGCAATGTACGAAGGATATCTCATTATTAGTTGCGTATATACTCTTTGGGATATCCCTGTGACATTCTCGGGATGGCACATACAATTTATTATCTTTCATCTATCTAGTGGTGGTGAACGGACATAATATATGGACCATCCTTTTTACAGTGATTTTAGTGAAAGCGTTTGCTATTTCTGTGTAGTGTTGTTCGAAATAAATATATTAATTTAATTGCTCACTTTACTTAATTACAAGTCACATAATGTATCATACAAGTTTAAAATTAATAATTATTGATAATTCGTAAGAAAAAACAAGTAGGTAGGTACTTACCTAATATAATTTCCACTTTATGATAAACTAACATTTTGTTATTCTGATTACCTACTTAAAGTAAACCAATAAAGCATGTCTTTATAAATAAATAAACTTCAATGTAAAATACTTAATTCCGTACTAAATTTTTATTTCTGTGAAAAATTTGCTGAAATACCTGTGATAGCTACTGTAGGTACCTACTGGTAAATATGAAAATATGTCACTCGGATATCCATATGCCTCATAATATTCAGACATTCTTAGACTGTTCTGAGGATAGCATACAGTCCAAACTGTATGTCCCTGAGACATACGGTGGGATATCAGAAAAATGTCCTGATTTGTAATATAAGATTCCTCGGTTGTTCTGAGGATAACCTACATATGTCATAATTTTCGGACATCCTCGCATTGAAGATAGTCCAAATTGTATGTCATTTAGACAATGGGGGATATCTTTATTTGCAACATAAATTATCCCCCGGACGTTCTATGGCCAGGACCATACAACCCTGGGACATACAAGTATATCCCATCCCCTGAGGACAGATTTGTACTATTTGGGATTAGTTAATGCAACTTTTAATATCGTTCTTATTTATTTTTGTAATAAAGAAATGCCAGAATGTGGTTTTACAGTTATCTAATTATAATAATCCTTATTGATACAAATTTATTAAGTGCTAATGAAAAATTATTAATTATAGGTTCTCATGACAGTTTTACCGCAAGTCTTTCTGCAAAATCCGAAATCGCACCCGATGCAGATGATACACTAAAAAAGCTAAAATTTCTTGGCCCAATTCTTACATATTTTATGGCTAACTGGTCCCGAACTCAAGCTTACAGTGCAACTGAGCAATTGATCGCTGGAATAAGATATTTCGATCTTAGAGTTGCTACGAAAGAAGGAACCGAAGACTTTTTTTTTGTACATGGTTTATATTCAGACAATGTTCAAACAGTTTTAACAGAAATGCTAAAGTTTTTAGAATCTCACCCTCGAGAGGTAAGTTTGGTGCTAGTTTTGATAATGCAACTATTAACGAAAGTTTTCCTCTGAATAATATCGATTTTCTGAATCTATACCTACCTACAGAAAATTTTAATCCACTGTATAAAGTAAATATGTAAATATAATTTTAAAAAATACCGATAAGGTCATTTGTTAATATTTATTCTGCATAATGTTTATTTATCTGTTCATATATAATTTTTAATAATTTTAATCAAACGTTATATCCATCTCCACTTTTGACTTTTCCCACATCAAATATTTTAAATAGCAAGATAGACCCAGTATTATTCGTTTGAAAGATCTTTTTATTTTATATGAAGCATGTTTTTATTGATAAAACTTAGGTATCTATTAGTTTTTCACGATACATAAACAGAATTATTCTTAACCCATACATATAATTTTGAGGAATGTCAGCTCATAATAAATAGTAATTAATAGTTAAAAAAAAATTAAAAGTTTTTTATTAATGACATTTAAAACTAAAATTAAAAAATCAGCTGAAGCCCTGTCTTTAGTTTGTAGATATTTATTTGTGGCAATTTTATAACTTTTTATTTAAACGAGTCCGCCATAAGCTCAATATGGTCATATCTCCCTTATTATTAGATGTATCAAACTTGGCATCATTTTAATCAAAAGAAATTCTAAATATGCAAAATGCGATGTACAGGATGTTTTATTTAAAGAAAATGTCCGAAATGTAATCTATTCTAAAAACTGTTTTCAAATAACAAGAAAATTTCCAAAAAAGTTTGACCAACAAGGACAATGTGAATGTCCCTATAAATATGTAATTATTCCATACAATTCTAATTTTATATTTTGTTTTAAGGTAATTATAATAGATTTCCAGCACTTTTATGCTCTTACCGACTCGGATCATGACAGACTAATGCAGATGTTGAGTAAAACCTTTGGAGCTAAATTGTTACCCTACTCAGATCACATGGATTTTATAAGTTTAGATTACATGACCACACAATATCAGTATCAGGTAACTTAAATTACATATTTCTTATCAATGTTTGCGGCTAACGCTCCAAGTTTTAAAAGCGCTTGAGCACGAGTCCATTTAAAACTTGAAAATGGTGAACAAATAACACCACCATCGTGATCCCTGCCTTCGAAAACCCGTAAGACGACTTTTCCCAGCTCTTTTTCCCGCTTTGCGTGTGATTTCAGTATTGCGAGCAGAGTAGTTTCAACCCTGAGGAGTTACTGAGGTCAACTGAATTTTAGAAATACCTATATAATTGTCTTAATATTCACATAAAAGCCCTAATCCCACGAATCCCCGCATGCCTATAACCGACAGCATGGGAGAGAGGGTATTTTTTGTACATTGGAGTTAGTTATGAGAGGGTGAGGTGAAAAATAACACCCTCGAAAACCCCTCTGAAACCCTACCTAGTTTTTTTTAATTTTTTTATATAATACATTCCTGTTGCGGGTCGGGGTATGTCTGTATCAATTAATATAATTAATTGTTCTTCACAAACAATCCGATCTAACGAGCCCTTGCAAGCCCAAGATCGAGAACCCGGAAATTGAGGTTGTTTTTTAGAGGGTGTGACATCGGATGCGTCCTCCAGCACCGCTGCGATCAACTCCACTACGCTATAGGATCGTGGCTGTGGTATCTGTTTGTCTTGCTGTGAGTTCTTCATTAGAGATGCTACAAGGTTCTAGTCGTCCGAAAGCTTTACGATTCATATTATTTAGACGTTGTTCGATTTCCAATGGTTCTCGTCTTATCAGGTTGTAAAACCTTGTTGTTCTCACAAAGTACCTCGACGCCTTCGATTTTTATTGTATGTCCTTCGTGTGACGCATGTTGAGCAGTGGAGAGTCTTTCTTCTTGTGAATAACATATCTTTGTTATACCTATATAACCCTTTCCTTTTCCAGGGGTGAATAAAGGGTCAAGCTTGCCTTTTATTGACCTAACTTCTTTTGGACGTTTCATGTAGGGATGAACCTTATAGCTACTCCTCTGCAATACCTTGGCAATTCGGTCCGTTACATTATAAACGTAAGGTTGTTGATTTTCGTTCGGCTTGTCATATTCTTTTTTCGGACGTCTAGGATTGATGACTTGTTTGGTATCCTGTTCTTTATAACCTTGCCTGTATAACTCTAGTGAGATGTTTTAGTTCAGAATCTAAATGATCCGGATCCAATATGGCCTTAGCTCCGTAGAATAATGTTTCGATTATAGTCCTTTTTTGCAGGGTGATGGTTCGAGTTTGCTTGTAGGTATCTATTAGTATGGATGAATTTCCCATAGACATTATGATTTCTAGTTACCCATACATTCAGGAAAGCCAATTCCAGACTCGAGACTCCGCATGGCAATACCATCGGCTTGTTCTTAGTAATCTCCTTTCCACGAGAAGATAAAGAAAGTTCAAATAGAGTTACCTCCTGCTGGGGGAACAAAAGTCATAATAGTTCCAATGTGTCTTTTACTGGTACTGGTGAACAAGGACATCAAAGCTGTCTAAGATGTCAGAGTCACATAGTGTCAGAGTCTGTGGAATATCCATAAATTTTCTTGAATTCCTAATGTGGTGTACTGAGTTGCATACGTCTTGTTACATCAAAGCAGTTGAATGCACTAATTATCGAACGAAGCGGGACAATAGGCTTATGGCAACCTATAGCCGGTTATCGGAAGGTTACATGCTCTTATAATAACTTGCTGGTCCCAGGAACTCTCGTTAACAATCTAATGGCATGTTTCTCAATCTTTTGGTGATTTCGGCTTCTTTAAAATTCTACACATTTCTTATCGAGAGTTTTCTGCATCAACCTGACTCCGATACCGCCATGATTTCTCAACAATGGAATTATTTGTGGTGTTATAACGAACCAAACCAAAATAGAAGTCGCTGCATCCAATAAAGTGACACTACTATGATAGATTACTGCTTTTTGCCAGTAAAACGATCGTCGTGGTAACTTGGGCATATCTTCTGGTTTTTCAAACTTCCGAATTTGTCGTTTCGTTGCTTTTGAGTGCTCCGCTTCGGCTGTCTCTGGTCTCTGACGCCATCACGTCAATCTTCCTCATATCTCCTGATCCAAAGCCGACATTAGGTACAAACACTACAAACTATGTAACTCTATAGTTTGCTTAAGACCACGTCCAGATGTCTACGTGTGTAATGCATTTGCTCCCGTAATAAAGTTGGACTGGCACGGTTATAGATTATATCAGTTGCTGTAGACTTGATGTTGTCATAGTTGGAGGTATCATGTCCTGATCCCGACAACGATATGGAAATGCGAGACTTGACAAGAGACGTGCCCTTTTTCTTCTTAGTATTTCAAATCATCTAATTCAGTGATGAACTTCCGCCTTTGTTGATGTATAAGGATAATTTCTATTTGTTCTCTGCAAAATGTCTTATTATTTTATTAGATAACTTCTTACGTAAGTAAATTTTTGTAAAATAATCTATTTAGAACACATAAAAAAGACCTTGTAACTTTACGGCTTTATAAAATCTTTTTTAAGTAATTCTGCACTTTTAAAATAAAATTTAAAAAAATTACTAGAAAATACAAATTGTCGATTTCCATTAAATTTTGAATATTTATATGCAACCAGTAATTTACTCGTTTCCTTACCTTAACCCAAGGATATTTATAATACATGTATTATAAAAATAAGTATCTAAAGGCAGCAGTTCTTTTATCTCAGGATATCAGTGCTTGTTTTCGCACGGGCTTGTTTTAAATTTTATTATCTGAGTAAGAATCCATTGGATTTTTTCTGAAGAAATATCTAATGGGCAATTTTTTCACTAAAAAAAGTATTGCAGCCATGAGCCGTAGCATTGAATTAAAAAATGCTTGAAATATGTCGATAAATATACTGTAAATGCGATATGTATCCCTTTTGTTAAGAAGATAGTATTGCTTTTAACCTTACTTTTGATAGACGTGGAATATTGAAAATATTTGGTCCCAGACCTGGTCGTTTCCCGAAGACCAAAACTACATTTTAAACCAAAAAACTTTAATAATATCGTATGTCGTATATTTTAGGTAATTGCTGTTTATAGATCAGATGCGGCTAGATCTGGGCAACCATTGTTATGGCCGTCTGCCAGTTTCCCAACGCCTTGGCCCGATACCGTTTCCATGGACGATTTATTCACGACACTTGATGAAGGAATTAAAACTAGATCATCAGCTGTAGGATTTGTATCACAATGCATATTAACACCATCAGTTTCGTTCATAATTAAAAATTTATGCAGTAAGTAGGCCACAAACGAATATTATAATAAATGTAAATGCACGGTCCGTTTAGAAAAATTAAAAAAAATAAAGCGCAAAATGGATATTATATGGATTCTCCATCATTAAGGTGTCCCTGCTACTAACTACATATTAATATTTAGTCAGTAGTAGACACTGAAACTTTTCTAGTATGATCAATAAAAGAATGGAGGTAAGACCCTAATCTTTATATAATGCAATCTTTCCACAAAATATTTTGTATTCTTCTTGTTCCAACATCATCCTTGACAAATGCAAATGAACAGAAATAAATAATAATAAAAAGTAATAATATACTTAGTTAAAGTAAAAAGTAATTCGCATTAATCTAGTCATACCTATTGTCAACACTTTTGACACTGTCGTTTCAAAATTTCATTTTTTCTAAATGTTTTATGTTTTGTATCCATTAATTCCATCTGCGATGATGCCACTTAATAAAAGCAACTAGAAAGGTCTGCAAACTTCGCTAATGCGGAATTGACCTTCCTCTCGGGCGGCGCTGCGCGGTGCTTTCTTCGACGATTGATAAATATAATACTTTTTAGAACCCCCTGTATATAAAAGTGATCAACACCGTAACTTCATAATTATCTCTGAACCGTTCAACGCAATATTTTTAGACATCCTGTGTATAAAAACCTATTTGAAAAGTTACATTTTCTTTTTATGAAAAGATTTAAAAAGAAAACTATAATGAAGGTAAAATACGGCAATAACTAAAAAAAAAATCTTAGGGATCCCGTGCGAGGTTCAAACCGTCGACTTCCAGGTTGCAACCCGACACTTTTACCGCTGAGCCACCAATGCCTTTAGACAGAGTTTGTTCGTATTGGTATTTGATTTGCTGTTCATAGTCGAAGTAAAGAAATATTTTCATAATGTAAAAATTGCATTTTTCTGCCGTAAAATCGTCCGCGAAGGACTCGGAACGGTACAAAACATAAAAATAATCGCCCATCGCCGTACTGGCGCCGCGGGGAACGTCGGAATCGGAAAATTCAGTTTTGACAATTCTGACGTTTCTACCGCGGGGACAATTTGTATTAAAATATTCTTAATCTCGTCTTAAATTTTGTTACATTTGACCTAATAAAAGTTGAGGGCGATATAAAAGAGAGAGAACGTTGCGATGCGGCATCGGAAAAACGCCCGGTAGCAAAAAGGGGACATCGCCGGGTCACGGGAGCTGCTCGTACGCAAAAAGTTCCGGCTCCGTCTCGAAACAGAGCGCAGGTGCCGGCCGTATCTATAAAGGAAAATATGACGCCGCGAAAATTTAGGCGTTTTGGCTTTACGAAAATATTGGGGTTTCGCAAGAGAGATGCAAGGCGCAGAACCTTTTTAAAAAGCAAATTTTGGCGTTAAGAAGTAAAAAACACGCTACAAAAATACGCCTAAGCTACGAAGAAAGGACGAAACTCGCGTGTAAAAGCTGAGCGAGCCCTCGATCTGTCCTCGGAAAAAAGCCTTTAGAATTTTAAATCGACCCTCAAAACGTCCGTCGATGAACGTTTCCGTCGGGTTCTTTCTCTCTCCCACAGCGAAAATTTGCCATTTGCGCCAAGGAGACCCGGGAAAACGAAAATTTCTCTAGGAAAATGCGGAGAAGCCTCCGCCGAAATACCCCCAAGCGACAAAGGAAGGATGTGCTGTGCGGCGAGCGAAAAAAGCCTTTGCTGCCCTAAATAGTCCATTTTTCGAGATCCGTACGGGAGTGAAAACCACCTGGAGCATTAATGTCGGAATCCTAAGTAAAATGTAAAAATATCTTTCTATCATGACTATCTTTACGTGTTTGTCTTTATCAAGAATAATGTTAGAGCAACAAGAATACAATTAGCTGCAAAAATACGGAAGCTAATAAAATTTATATTTTTTTAAAATATATTTTATGGTACATAAAAATTGTTATAATTTGTAAAAAAAATCATCTCTTGCATCACGGTGTTAAAAAAATTATAGAAAAGTTTTCTCATTAATAAAAATATATAATTCATTAACATGGGTTCGAAAATGCTTCGTTTCAGAGATACATAATTTAAAATATCATATCTATGCAATTATGCAAATATCTTTGAAGATGGAGGTGGGTTAATATAATTTGGGCTGATGACTTAACTAAATATAAAAATTTACTGAATTTGCATACAATTGTATCAACCAATGACGGAGGTACAGGGAGACACCGCCACTAGGAGCCGCCACTGAGTATTTTGAAAATTTACGTAGTCAATTTGATTCTTAATTATATTTAAAAGAAAAAATTTCTCTTATATTTTATTCCAAAACCTATATTTTAATGTGACTATTGAAAGTTTCCCAGAAAGTTACTAAATTTTTATGCCACTTAACTTTCCGAATTTTTAATCAAATTATTTTTAAAACAACATTTGCCATATAAAAAATTGTGTTAATATTTTGTTAATATTTTTTTTTGTGTGAAGCTAACAGAATTATTTTAGACTCTTTTTTAACTCTGTGGCAAATTTATTTAGGGTAAAAATATAATAAGTCGAAAATGATTCGCTTTTCGGATAAAGTTGAAGAGATATTATTATTAGAATCTCAATTAAGTATAAAATGGTCTGATCTAATTTCCAAAATCCCTAGTGCTGTCAAAATTTTGGGGTTTGTACCGATGATGTCTCCCAGTACCGCCGCGACTGATTGGTAAATAATACAATACATACAAATTCAAAGGACATTTACCTTTACTCAATTGTCACCAGACTAAATTTCATCTTCAGAGATATTTTGCTTTTTAATCCTTTTTTAACATCTCATTTTTTTTATTTATTATAATGACCAAGCAATATAATAAGTATAAAGTTTCTCAATAAGTCCCACCTTTCATTTCCTACCATGAGACAATAATCTTACTGTTGAACTCACAGAATATGACGAATTGACGATTTTGATTGTCCTGAGAGTTGTCTATAAATTTTAAGATCAAGAAATTTCTTTTTCAGTGTAAACTCCGTCATCCGTCATTTTCTGCTAATATTTATTTGCATTCAACGTTACTATTAGATTTGAAGTTTTTTCACTGGCGACTTATAACCACATAACAACTGATAATTTTAGAAAGAAAATTGTATGTAAATTTAGTAAACCTATGAGATAGTGATTAAAATTAACATGGGTCTTATTTATCTTAGGTACCATCATTATTTCTTCAATTTGATGAATGCGGCAGCAACACAATATAAAATTTCAAAAAAAATTTGCAAATCTTCCCAATGCTTGTCAAAAACAGATAAGTATCGGAATTAAAATCAATTTTTTCCCAGACAAAAATTTTTTTGCCAAAAATTTCCAAAGAAAAAGTCTCAAAATATAAAATGAGCAAAATATATTAAATTAATGTTAGGTAACATTTTTCACAAACAAAATTCAAAGAAATATTTTAATAATACCATAACTTTTAAGATACGCTGAAGAAAACGTGCGCTGAGGACTTGGAAGTACGAAAACTGCAATGGATAAATAACCAAAAATCTGGAGAAGGTGGTATGAATATTGTTATCTCAGATTTCATTGACTTGTCTGACTGTGAATTTGTTAAGGTTGTTATTAACTTAAACGAACAATTCTTAAGCGACGCCATAAAACCTTCTGATTTTGTTATAGACATTGAAAAAAATATATATTAATAAATTGTTTTTACTGATATTTTGATGCACCCATTTCCTTTCCCTTGAAGTAAAAATGTTATGTTGTAGAAAAACGTAGGTATCTACCTAATAATACATATACTCGGCGGCCGAAATTATAAAGAGTGACTAATATAAAAACACTATTACCATAATGCGTATAAAATATAAAATGATTTCTATACGGTTCAATATTATTTATCTTTGTGCCGCTCGCCATGCACATCGGTAGAATCTATAATCGTGTATAGACTGAGTTACACTGAACGTCGATCTATATTTTATCTCTGTCTTTTGCACTTGGTAGGGAATAGGGAAATGCTTTTTTAGTGGGTGTAAACGGACTTGATTTGCCCGACCTGAGAAACGCCATAGCATAAGCGTAGACGAGGGGTCTAATTCCATGGTTATAATAAATTTATAAATTAAAAAAACA